GAGAATTTATCTGCAGCCTGAAACTAGAAGACAAAAGTGTCGTGTTCCTTTCAGCTCTGCTAACCTTTAGGCCAGCCTTGAGATTTTGCAGTTCCTAGGACTGGCTACCCTCGGGGTCTCCAGATCTTGGGGTACTTGCAGTGCCTAATACCTGCCCTCTTTTGGCACACAGGGAGAATTACTGCCCTGCAAACCCGTCACAGGTAAGGCTGGGGGCACGGGAGTCAAACCAGGTGGCAGCAGCACGGGTGAGTCACGCAGAGCCACACGTGGGCTCCCGAGGCAAGACGAATTCTCACCCCGAAACAGTCCGGGCTTTGCAAGGAGCAGCAAGCAGTGCCAAGGACCCCGCAGCACGCACTCAGAGCTCAGCCTGCGGAACGAATCCCGCCATCACCCCTCTGGGGTGTCTGCACAGCCCGGCCACCAAAGCGGTGACTCCTGGCAGACAATCCCACAGGCGCAGAGGCCAGGCAGAACGTAACTGACATTTCACTGAGGGAAACCAAACCAGACACAGGCAAAAACCCCAAGTCCCTGACGTTACCCAACTGTATTTCCTTTCCAGCATAGCACCTGGCACGGCGTCTCTCAGCGGATGTGACCTTTCTTAAGTCTCTCATGGCAAACCTGAGTCACTTTGATGCGCTTCTCAGTCATAGGAGAACGTGAAGAGAAAATGCAGGAGATAAAGGATCTGCGGTAGCCACAGTAGCAGAAACTCGTCATATATTTGCAGGGGAAAACCAAAAAAAAGGACAAAAGAAGTGAACATAAAAAGCACAAGCTTTCAAACCTGTTGGGTTTTTTACATTATAACAACTACTGAAATATGAAATACATGTTAACAGCCGAATCTGCAGTCCGAAAGGAGCGTTCGAGGACTGCAAGACCCAGCTCATTTACATCATTATTTTTCTGTTCTTGTCCTAATCCTTCCCCAAAACTGAATGCAGCAAAGCAGTAAGAAAAACAAACCTCCATTTTAAACAAACAGCCTTGTTAAAACTCCAGGCAGCCCTATGCGATAGACTCACACGTAGGAGAGAAAAAATACTGTGGACTGTAACTCATGGCTAGTGCCATTTAAAAGAAGCTAAATTGTTCATGAAAAGAATGGCATTATTCTCACCCAGAAATATGAAATTATAAGGAATTATTAGTCAGTTTTACAGATGGTTCTTGAAACAAACAGGAGGCCAAATTTTAGTGACAACATTCACGCAGACACCTTTGCACGTGCTTAAAAGGCACTTCCTCAATCAGGGCTCTACGGCAACCAAGATGCATTTAATTCACAAATCATACAGGTTTAGCACGTACTCCAACTGCCAGTCCGGTTCACACTAAAACCAGAGTTACCATCGGTTTGCAGAATAAAAGAACAACTGACACCTCAGCTGACTGCTTTACACTGGAAAAAACTCCCAGGACAGCCCTGTCCGTACCAGCTTAGATGAAGCTGCACAACTCAGACTGTGTCGCTCTTAAGGGCCTGAAAAAGGGGAAATCTGAATGGTTGAAAAACAGGAACTTAAAGACACAGGCGCAACACTTTCGAGAAGGGAAAGTTTCACGTCTGGCACGTAGGAAGTAAAGCGTGGGCAGAAGGCAGCACCAATTTGTTCAAGATTATCTGCCTATTTTTAACTACTTTCTGCCATTTTGGGGAGGATTGGAACAAAAAAAAAAAAATCCAAGGAAGTTTTTCACAGAAGAGTGGCAAGACTGAACATGGCAATTAAAATCTGTTATTCCTTTATTTAGGGTGAACTATCTACATTAGTTTGTTCAAACTGGCAACCGACCAACACCCAAATCCTTAAAAAAAAAAAAACCATAACATTGAATAGGATCGGAGGCGTTTATTACGGTT